TAAAATCAAAGAAATGAGCTCCTAATCCAGCAAAATGTGCAGTGGTTATGAGATTGTGTCTCATTAATGAGAGATTTTCTGTAGTTTGAGGTGTTTATATTGTTAAATTAAAGGTTTGAAGAGCGCTTAAACCCCAAACACCAGCAGTTACCTGTGTTTTTCTTGTGTGTGTGTGTGTGTGTGTGTGTGTGTGTGTGTGTGTGTGTGTGTGTGTGTGTGTGTGTGTGTGTGTGTGTGTGTGTGTTTAATGTTCATCTATTATACAGCTGACGGTGGTTCTCAACCTTGATCCATTTTTCACAGATACAATAATTCTGTTGATATTTTTTTAAAGAGCTGGATGTGGGTCAAAGATTACTCACTGAAAACAGCTGGATCATTATAACTCGATGTTGGGTCAAATGTCAAAATCCAAGGTTGAGTTTATTTAAAATTCAATTAAAAATGTAAAATTCTGTTAAATTTGATTTGAAATGTAAAAATAAATGTATAATGTCCTGTTTTGACGTCATATTAAATTTACAAACGTGATTTTATATACATGGAAAACGCAACTCAATGTTGGGTCAAATATGGTCAAAACCAGCTGTTGGGTTAAAAAGTGTCATTTCAGTTTAATTGAATAACCCAATTTAGTCCATATTTGACCCAGCATTTAACCCAACATTTTAATTTAAATTCAATTAAATAAACAAACCCAATATTATTAATATTAAAATATTTTGATGCGTTGTTGTGTCAGATATGGGCAATATTGGGTTATTTTATTAAACTAAATTAAATTACTCTTTTTCACTCAACTTTGGGTCAAATATGGTCAAAACCAACCATTAGGGTAAAACTTGCAGTTCAATTTATTGAACAAACTAACCCAATATTGTCCGTATATGACACAGTCTTGGGGCAAATATGTACAATATTGGGTTATTATACTTAAATAATTTAAATTTGAAGAGTTTAGATGCAAAAACCTGTAAGTGCCATCAGAAATTTAAATCGGAAGTGAGCATTAATCTCATCTCCCTTAGTTTATGTCGAGATATTTCACTTTGAAGACCATAAAAAGAGCTTATTCTTCACCATGACAGTGAACTATTGAACCTGCACACAGGAGCTGATAAAAATGCTCATTTTAGCAGAACATTTCAGACGGCATGTAGAGGTTTTTGCATCTAAACTCTTCAATGACGCTTTTTAACTCAGCATTGGGTCAAATATGGTCAAAACCAGCTGTTGGGTTAAAAAGTGTCATTTCAGTTTAATCGAATAAACTAACTCAATATTGTCCATCTTTGGCTTAGTCTTGGGTCAAATATGGAGAATATTGGGTTAGTTTACTTTATTAGAAATGACGCTTTTTAACCCAATGTTGGGTCAAATATGGTCAAAACCAGCTATTGGGTTAAACAGTGTCATTTCAGTTTAATGAACAAGCTAACCCAATATTGTCCACATTTGACCCAGTGTTGGGTCAGATATGCACAATAATGGGTTAGTATATGTATTATATTGAAATTACACCTTTTAACCCAACGGTGGGTCACATATGGTCAAAACCAGCTTTTGGGTTAGAGTATAATTTCAGTTTAACTGAATAAACCTGCACAATATTGTTCCTATTTGACCCAACAGTGTTTAAAAGCGCTGGATGTGGGTCAGACTACTCACCAAAAACAGCTGGATCATTATAACCCGATGTTGGGTCAAATGTGGTCAAATTCAAGGTGCAGTTCATTTAAAATTCAATTAAAAATGTAAAATTCTGTTAAATTTGATTTGAAATTTTTAAATAAAATTATAATGTCCTGTTTTGACGTCATATTAAATGTACAAATGCGGACAATAATGGGTTAGTTTACCTATTATATTGAAATTACACCTTTTAACCCAACGGTGGGTCACATATGGTCAAAAACAGCTTTTGGGTTAGAGTATAATTTCAGTTTAACTGAATAAACCTGCACAATATTGTTCCTAACCTCGGCTCAGTTGGCGTTTCTGTGTGGAGTTTGCATGTTCTCCCTGCCTTCGTGTGGGTTTCCTCCGGGTGCTCCGGTTTCTCCATATTCAAAAACATGCTGTACAGGTGAATTGGGTAGGCTAAATTGTCCTTAGTGTATGAATGTGTGTGTGGATGTTTCCCAGAGATGGGTTGTGGCTGGAAGGGCATCCGCTGTGTAAAAAACTTGCTGGATAAGTTGGCGGTTCATTCCGCTGTGGCGACCCCAGATTAATAAAGGGACTAAGCCAACAAAAATAAGAATGAATGAATGAATATTGTTCCTATTTGACCCAACGTTGCGTTACAACAACCCAGCTGAACTTATTAAAATATATCTAAGGAGAACCAAAATAAGATTAAAATTATGTTTATGATCATCCAGTGTAACAAATATCTGGCGCACTCTGAATAAATGCTGGATTGTTGTAACCCAATGTTGGGTCAAATGTGGACAAACTCCAGTTTGAGGTTATTTAAAATTCAATTAAATTTGAATGACACTTGTTAACCTCGAGGTTGTGCTACTTCTTATTTGACCCAATGTTGGTTTACAATAACCCAGCTTTTTTAGTTTTGTTGTCAAATTAAATGTACAAACATGGTTTTCTATACATGGACTACATAAAAATGGCAGTGTGAGCTTTAATGTTGCAGTTCATTTTGTGAAAATCTCTAAATTAATGTTTAATGTGTCACAGAAAAAGAGGTTTCTAGATAACCCAGGTACAAACAAACACTTTAAATAATTCTGGGTTGTTGTTAATCAACTTTGGGTCAAATATGCACAAAACCAAGCATTGTAAAAAGTGTCATTTACATGCATTTAATTAAAAAAAATTAACCTAACATTGGATTTCCTGTTATTTGACCCAACATTGGGTTACAATGAATGCAAAATGAAAAGACATGCTTTTTTCTGAGTTGTACTTATTAAATATATCTAAGGAGAAGTCAAATAAGGTTGAAATAATGTTCTGTGAAATGCTGGGTGTTGATACGCATGTCGGGTCAAATATAGATGAACCATATTGGGTTAAAAAGCATAGTTTAAATCTAATTGTAAATATTAACCAAACATTGGGTTTGCCCATATTTGACCCAAAATTGGGTTAAAACAACAGCATTTTTTAAATGTAAAATGTTTTTAATTGGTCATCAAATCGTTTGAAACACATTTAGCAGGATCATGGTTTCCCCTGGTGATGTTTTACTGTCTGTTTCTGGAAATCAGAGAGAAATGGGTGACAGTGGCTTGACAACCTTTGACCCTTATATTAAAATATTAATCAATGCATCTAAATGAACAATTTGTATTTAATATTTGTTAAGAGTTGAAGTGAGAAACAGGACGCTCTATTGACATGCTTAACCTGTATTTTTTTTTTTTTAGCTTTTTTTTTTTTTTAAAGGGACAGTACACCTACATTATTTCCTGGCCCTCAGGTTTGTTCAAGTCGCAAAGGCAGATTTGTGGACCCATGTCAGACCCCAGCAGATCTCAACACACGTTTACACCCATAATACACTATGAAGATGTTGGGTCATCATAACACAACATTGGGATACGATGACTCAGCATTTTTATAGCGTACTATGGGTGTTTATGTGCGTTTGTGTAACGGGGGCCAGCTAGTAAGTGCTGTGCAGGTAAACCTCACTCCTCTGACCTCTAAAGGTGCTGTAGCGACAGACGCTAGAGGCCATGGTCTTTATCCTCCTTGCTAGAGCAACCGACTCCCATGCGAAAGATCGCCAATTCGATACCAGCTCGGAGCAGGCTGGGTGTTGTAGGACTGGCGGGGTTACATTTGGATCAAATATAGATATTTGTTTTTTAAAATTATATATATATATATATATATATATATATATATATATATATATATATATATATATATATATATATATATATATATAAACTTTTACATCTATATTTGACTTAATACTGAGTTAAAACAACTCAACATTTTTATATAATTTTTTAGGGTGTATTTATTTTTCCTACTATGGCAGTCGCAAATGTAAATGTGTAAACATTATTTTCAGAGTGAATACTGACACTCTTACGTTTATAGAGGGTTGGAACAAAGTAAATGATGGCAGAATCTTCATTATTATTATTATTATTATTATTATTATTATTATGGGTATACTGTCTGTTTAATTGAGTAAATAAATGTGTCTGCTGCCCTCTGCTGGTCGAGAGCCACTGTTACTGTATAACTGATCCCTCATCAGTGTGTCAGGACGTCATGCAGTATCGTGAACTAATGACATTTGACGTAAGAAAATAACCGTATTTTGCTTTAATCAGTACATTTGTTTACTTCTGCAGTTATATTTCTGTAAGATGTGCTGCTATATGAATAAAGATAGACATGAAGTTCTTTCCCTGCTGTCTCCTGTCAGTTATTATTGTGTATTAAAGAATTAATCTCCATTTGTAACATAATTGTTGGATAAAATATGTGTATTTCCGCTAATAAATTTAATAACATGAGACGAGCTATGAAAATAATATTATTTTTGATTTAGAAAGTGTGTGTATATGTAAAGTAAACGCAGAAGAAAAAATAAGTGTTTACATTCCTGAGTCTTGATGAGCAGAACAATCAGCTTGTCTGGCCTTTTACGACATTAATAATGAAACCAATTAAATTTAACGGGTTAATGCCTGTCACGTGGGATTTATTTAAGATGCATTTGACTTTTGTTTACTGGGAAACTTCTTAAGATGTTAAGCTATGTTAGAAAGGAGGAGTTTTGTATTTTTATGTGGTATATTCCTGGCTGCGTCCTGATACGCGCCGTCTGACGTCATCACGCGCTTTATCGGAACCCCTCAGGCACGCGCGCTGATGACAGATGCCGTAGTGCGCACTATCTAGTGCACTTATTCTGAGTGCTACACAATGTTGGCGAGGGTCAATCAGATTATTGGGTAAAATGGATTGTGACGTCAGGGTTTAGAAAGCGTCGCGTTGGCCTGACGCACAGCAGAAGCAGCGCAGAATCAGGCGGAATATATGATGAGATGAGCTGACGGGCGACTCTTCAGCAGGATGGCCGCGTTTCTGGAGGTAAGAGACATTAACTGCTTCACTTTTACTCTGCAGCACTTGTAAAGTCCGTGATTCGACTGATTTGAGGTGTTAATCCGAATTAATTCACGGAAATAAAGCGAAATCCGCCATTATCGCGTTTTAAACCGTTTTGTGTTGCCAAGGCGACGCCATTGGTTCATTCAGCGTGTAGAGTTTAACGGAACTGTTCAATTTAACCGATTAGATGAATAAACTCATTCATAAACTCAATTAAAGGTCAAGTTTTGTTCTTTTTGTGTACAGCTAGCGAATATGATTCTGCCAAGCTCCATAAATGTGTAAAATTTCATAATGCGGGCATAAAACTGCTCCGTAAGAGCGACGCGTCTGTGATATATGAATTATCCTCAGTGTGTGCTGACTAAAAGTTCATTACTCATGTGTTTATGGTTAAGATGTTCTTCAGATGAAGAAAACTATTTGTTTTGAAAGGACAGGTGACCCAAAAATGTCATTTATTTACACTGAAGTGATTGTAAACTTTGAGTTTCTTTATTCTGTTGAACACAAAACAAGATATTCCGAAGAATGCTGGAGAAAAGCTGACATGACATCCATAATAGAGACTAAAGATGCTATGCATTCTTCATCATGATTAAGTGTTGACGGGATTTTTCTTTTTTGGATGAACTGTGCCTTTATGTGGGATATGTAAACAGGTTATTTGTGACAGAGTTTAATAAAATAGACAACTGAATATCTTATATTACTCATATGTAGTAAATTTGCATCTCAAATACAAGATCTGCGAGTGGAAATCTCTCATGTAAATCTCCCAGTCACTGATTCGAAGCCCAATGACTGGATTTTGTTCAACAAAAAAATAGGGCTGGACGATTTAGCCTAAAATCAAAATCTTGATTAATTGAACATTTTAACTCGATTGCGATTAATGAAAGATTATTTTATTTATTTAATTTTTTTGTCCTCATAGTTCACTGACAGGTTTTGTACAGTAAATATGCTCACAAATTACAAGTCAGAGATTTCTGAATGAAGGGCGCATTACTTGACTTTAAAATAATTGAAGCAAACACACACAGTCCACTACAGGGTTGGCCACCCCTGGTCTACTATCTATGATTATTTATTGAACATCAGCGCTGAACTGGTCCATAAGCTCAACGCATATATGAGTTATCATAAATGTGTGCTGACTAGTTCATTAAGTAATGTGTTTATGGTTCAGATGAAGAAAGCTATTCGTTTTGAAGGCACAATTCACCCAAAAATTAAAATATCCTGAAAAGTGAGTTTTTTTTAATTCTGTTGAACACAAAATTTTTTTTATGAAGAATGCTGGAGAAAAAAGCTGACATGACATCCATAATAGAGACTAAAAATACTTTGGAAGTCAATATTTTTTTCTAGCATTCCTTAGTATGATTAGATGATGACAGGATTTTTTATTTTTGGCTGAGCTGTGCCTTTAAGTGGGATATGTAAACAGGTTAATTGTGACAGAGTTTAATAAAAAATAAATAACACATTTCTTTTACATCACTCATATGTAGTAAATTTGCATTTCAAATACAAAATCTGAGTGGAAATCTTCAGCTCTCATGCACTGATTCTAACCCCAATGACTGGATTTTACTTGTGAACATTCACCCAAGGATATTAAATGTGAACACACCTTCGCTTTTTAATTGTTTTTAAAACTGTTGCAGCATGCACATAGAGTAAACATTCTTATTTGAGTGAAAAATCCTCCAATTATTGCTATTTTTTTTGCCAATATTGAATGATATGAGGCGGCACAGTGGCTTAGTGGATTGCACTATTGCCTCACAGCAAGAAGGACGCTGGTTCGAGTCCCGGCTGGGTCAATTCTATGTGAAGTTTGCATATTCTTCCCGTTTTGGCGTGGGTTTTGTCCAGGTGCTCCCCACAGTCCAAACACATGCGCTATAGGGGAATTGACTAAATTGGCCGTAGTGTATGAGTGTGAATGACAGTGTGTATGGATGTTTCCCAGTACTGGTTTGCAGCTGGAAGGACATCTACTGTGTAAAACATATGCTGGAATAGTTGGTGGTTCATTCTGCTGTGGCGACCCCTAAAGAATAAAGGGAGTAAGTCAGGAAAAATGAATAACCGATATAACAATAAAATATTCATCATCATCACTGCAGAAAGCTCTTCATCAGATTGCACAGCCCTAAGTAGTAGGACTAGTTGGTGATGTTGCAATGAACAGCATAAAAATGTCAGTATTTTGTTAGCAAGTTTTGACACTTCAGTGGAGTATAATAATATTGTTGTTCTTACAGATTTCTGACGACAGTAAAGGGCACGAGCTGAGTCTGTTCTGTGTGCCCAAACACTATGAGGACGATCTGGACAGCGTCATCATCCCCAACGGCCTCATTAAAGACAGGTTCTGCTCTGGATAAATACAGCTGAAGGCGAAATTATTCGCCCTCCTCTCAAATAGTTCTATTTTTTCCAAATATTTTGTTTTAAAGGGGACAAATTTAGCAAAAAAAACACTGTTATATGGGGTTTAAACACAAGAAAATGTTTAATAGAAATTAGCTGTTTAAAAAAAAATCTTCTGTAAGCAACACTCTGGAAATATTTGTTTATAATTTTGACATCAACTGTACGTGTTTCTGTATCTGTGCTCATCTGTGAAGCGCTGACGAGTTGAGACGTGGCCGTGAGATGCCCTCGGTAGTAAAAGATCGCAGTGTTCCCTCTGTAGACGCAGTTAATGATGTTAGTCCACTACGAGACGCATGTGATTTGAATTCGGCTTTCCCATTCATTTGTTTAACAAACTTCTCATTATTAGCGTGCTGCTGCTCAGCTCATGCTGATGTTAAAGGGACAGTCCACCCCATAATTTACTCACAGTTCAGCCCTCACTAATATATCTGTTAAATGTGTTAAGATGCTAGACAATGTTATATTTGCGTGTATACATTAGATTAATTGGTACTGAAGTCAAATCTGGAGCTTATCTAACAAAATAACTTACAACAACAGTCTAAACTCACCGGCCACTTTATTAGGTACATCTTACTAGTACAGAGTTTTTGTACTAGTACTTTTGCCTTCAGAACTGCCCTTATCCTTGGTGGCAGAGATTCAGAAAGCTACTGGAAATATTCCTCAGAGGTTTTGCTCCATGACAGCATCACACAGTTGCTGCAGATTTGTCGGCTGAACATCCATGATGCCAATCTCCCGTTCCACCACATCCCAAAGCTGCTCTATTGGATTGAGCTCTGGGGACTGTGGAGGCCATTTGAGTACAGTGAACTCATCGTCATGTTCAAGAAACCAGTCTGAGATGATTGAGCTTTATGACATGCTGCTTTATCCTGCTGGAAGTAGCCATCAGAAGATGGAGACACTGTGCTCATAAAGGGATGGACATGGTCAGCAGCAATACTCAGGTAGGCTGTGGCGTTGATGCTCAATTGGTACTAATGGACCCAAAGAAAATCTCCCCCACACCATTACACCACCACCACCAGCCTGAACCGCTGATACAAGGTAAGATGGATCCATGATTGGCTGATTAGACATTTGCAACAAACAAGAAACAAGCAGTTGGATAGGTGTACCTAATATAGTGGCCGGTGAATGTATGTTGCGGAAAAATAGTGACTGAAATATTTTTTAAAAGAAAATATATATATATTAAATTAAGTTACATTTTTTTTTGTGATATTTTCTATAAGGTTTATTGTATTCTATTTAATTTTGTTAATTGAAAGATGTTTTGTGACCAAACTATTACTTTAATGAACATAACTGTTTAATAAATCTGTTTTATTAAAATGCACCAAAATAAACAGTCGATATTTGCTAAGAAATGCATAAAGATATTTATTTTTAAAGGGGGTGCACTAATCCATGCTGTCAGATGAACACAATCTTAATAGTTTCAAACAGTTCAGCCAAAAATGAAAATTACCCCATAATTTAATCATCCTTAATGTATATGAGTTTTTCTGTCAGTCAGAATAGTTTTAAAGTGACAGGTCACCCAAAACAGGAAGTTAATTATCCTTTACTTGTTCCAAACCTGTTTGACTGTCTTTCCCATGTTAAACACAAAAGAATATTTTGGAAAATTCTGGAAACCTGTGTTGACTGCCATAGCATTTGTTTTTCCTACTATGAACTAGTATGCACTAGCAATACCTATAATAATATTATCAATAAATAAAAGTCAGAGTCATAAGCTGTGTTTCCACCTAAAATTCTAATTAAATTTATGTGGGAAAACTGGAATATTGCATGAAATATTAGTGAATAAAGCAGCGTTTCCATCCACTGATGCACAGTAGAGCATCAGCTCCTCAGCCCCTGCACAGATATCACTGAGAGAAGTGTAGAGATCTAATAAATGAGCTGCTCCTCTAAATGAACACTGTGAGTGAAATGAAATGAAAATGTGAAGGAGACGGGTGCGCAGACAGATGCTCAAGACAGTTCTGGAGGGAATAATAATAGAAGAAGAATAATACTGAAGCACTGTGACGACGGAGGGATTTTACAATCAGCACAACATTTCAGACCTGCAACAATGGAAAGCTGCAAACCAACATTACAATCCCTGAACACACATTTATACCTGTGAGACACTAAATCACATCACGCACACTGAGGAAGAACAACCTGCGCAGACTTCACTCACTAAATCTGTTCACAGCTGATTTAATGCACAAATCTTATCAGATAAAAAGTCAGTTCTACTCAGTTATGTTCATAAGTTTATTGATTAATCTATGCACATCATTTTATAAATGTAATAATTCAAAATGCACATAAAAGTATGTGGATGACTAGTGATGAGCGAGCTTTTAAAGGTGGCTTTAATGTTGTGCAGGACGGAGCGTTTGGCCAGAGATATCGTGCGGGACATGGGCGGTCATCATATCGTGGCTCTCTGCGTTCTCAAGGGAGGCTACAAGTTCTTTGCGGATCTGATGGACTTCATCAAGACTCTGAATCAACACAGTGATAAATCTGTGCCGCTGACGGTGGATTTCATCAGGCTGAAGAGCTACTGCGTGAGTGCCAGATCCGCACTCAGTGGAAAAACACTGGAGTCTTACTGGGGGCTTAATACAGCACTTTTCACCTTTTATGACGTAAAGCTGCTGCTTGTGACTCTTCTAAAGCCTAAACATACTTTAATATGTTCAAATACATGCTAAGTGATCATATTTGTTTGTTTGAGAAACAATGCTAAAGTCAGATATTCTGCTTTGAGATATGTCAGTATGTCTGTGCCAGTTTGCTAATTTCATTTAAGCACCTAGGTTGCCAGTTTGTGGAATACAACATATTTTGATCATGAAGGGTGTCTCATAAGATGCAGATTTAGTGTTATAAAAGCTTACATGAGGTGATTTTTATTTCAACTAATTCAGATATGACAAATGTAATCATTAGCTGATCAGCTTACAGTGTACTCTCACTCCTGTTTGCATTGTCAATCTGGCAACCCATGTTTGCATGGAAGCATTGCAGGAGGATGGGTTAGATGTAAATATCTCTGATGTTTTGAATTTGGATAGTAATACCTAGTTCAACCTTTTGCTTTTAAAATTAATTTAGTAAATAAAGCAATACAAATAGACAAAGGAAGGAAAAAACGAAATAAACATACAAAGGGGAGCTAAACAAAATGGTCCATCACTCAATAAATGGCTAATATTGGAGAATCTGCTGTATAAGCTCATTCTGTAGAAAAACTAGCTGTAACTCCCTGGTTAATTGGGCATATTTAAATCATATAATATTTTGTTAGTATACTATTTGATATTATTTAAAGTGATTTCAAACTGTGATCTGATTTCTGTCCAGAATGACCAGTCCACCAACTGTGTGAAGGTGATCGGGGGAGACGAGCTATCGGCCCTCGCTGGAAAAGTCAGTCTGGAGTTTGTTTGTTTTGGGATGTGCTTAAATGTGAATGCTAGCCTTTTTAAATGTAAAATATGAATTGTCTTCCCTTTGATTGCAGAATGTGCTCATTGTCGAGGTAAGCTTAATTTTTTACAATTATTTTAATTTATTTAATGTCAAATTTTTCTACAGCTGAAGACAAAATTATTCAACCTTCAGTGAAATTAGTATATTTTCCCTAATATTTCCCAAATACTGTTTGACAGAGCAAGGACACTTTATTTATTATTTTATTATTTATTATTTTATTTATTTCCTATTATATTTTACTTCTAGAGAAAGTCTTATATGTTTGAGTTTGGCAGGAAGAACAAACCTATTTATTAAAAAATGTTAAAACTGCCGTGGTCAATATTATTAGCCCCTATATATAACTATATAACTACTGTAAGAACATATCAGCATTTGGTACAAACTTTCAGTATTGTCTTTGCTTGAACTGACCCGATCTAATCCTGTTTGTATGAAATGAGCCTGCTCCTACACAGGTTTGAGCTACCAGAACTGTTGCTTTGACAACAACTCTCAGATGAGTTTTGAAGAACAAAACGATCCTGGATCATGTCAAATCGTCAATAACCAAATCCAGCTAACCGAGTAATCCATCTACGAAGAACGGACCCCTGGTCTACAGAACAAACCACTGTTGTACAGTGACTTGCCTAATTAACCTAAACAACCTTATTACCCTAGTGAAGCCTTTAAATGTCACTTTAAGCTGTATAGAAGTGTCTTGAAGAATATCTAGTCTAATATTATTAACTGTCATCATGACAACGAGAAAATAAATCAGTTATTAGAGATGAGTTATTAACACTATTATGAGTAGAAATGTCTCTGTTAAACAGCACTTGGAAAATATTTGAAATAAAATAATGATACTTTGAAATAAAAAAATCACAACAGGGCAAATAATCTTGTAAATATTGTGAATAAATGCATAATCAATTCTGTGAGGGGAAAATACAGAATTGCAGAAGTTTTATTGATTTATTTTTGTGTATAAGGATATTGTAGAGACGGGGAAAACAATGGAAACGCTGCTGAAACTCTTGCATGAATGTCATCCCAAAATGGTGAAAGTGGTGAGGTGAGGATCTGCTGAGTGCATTAATGCTGCTTATTCTGTGTATTATCAGCTTTAAAGGAGACCTATTATGCAAGATTATATGTTAGAAGGTGTTTAAACCCAGTTGTGTGTCAGCAGTGTGTGAATATATCCAGCCTCTGATGGTAAACAGTAATTAATTGTATTGTTTTATAGTGTTTTGACTTGATGCAGAAGCACTTTGATTGACATTCTCCTTTTGTACGTGTCATCAGAGGGGGAAAGCCCCGCCCACTCGCGCCCATCCCTCCATCTCATTAGCATGACATAGACATAGACTGACAGAAGCATCAAGCACACCTGACCAGCACTGACAACACACCTAGTTCTGTTTTACATCTGTTTTTTTTTACATCTCATTTGCATTTAAAGCAACAGTCACTAAATTGGATCAAAGCCCAAAAGGGTCAGTTTCAGAGAGTTAGAAAACATTTTCTGTGTGTTATTTTGAGATAAAGCCTCACGACACACTCGACACATGTGGGATGCATTTGAATAGGTGTCCTTTAACTTTGCTGTTCTGTATATAAGCATTAATATTGGCTATTCTGTGTTTTAACGCTGCTGTTCTGTGTGCATTATGAATATATGTGACCGTTCTGCACTTTAATCTCAGTCTGCTGGTGAAGCGGACGCCCAGGAGCTCCGGATATCGGCCCGACTGTGAGTTTGTTCTGATATGATGAACATTTTGTGCTTAATCCTTTTCACTTAGAGACATCAGATACTGTGAGCAGTTACGCAATGCTTTTAGACGCGAGCGCATTTAAGCTCTTTATATCCTCTTTATGTGTCAGACTCAACTCTTCAGCATATTTCCACCCTCATCTACATTTATTCCTGGTATATTTCAATTTTAGAAGAGTTACTGTATGTTTTTCCCAGTAAGCGTATGCTTTTATAGTTAAATAATATAATTACTTACTAATAAAAAACCTAATTTGTTTCTCATTTGAATTGATGAACTGATATTCTTGATTATTACAGTTAGATCATCTATTTATATGTGTAATGTGCTTAAAGGGAAGGTCATGAGGAATTTTTAAAGTGTCCTAATATTCTGTCTAAGAGTCCAAGAGTCTCAGATTTAAGGTAAAAAAAATCGTAATTTTCTCAGATATGTCTTTTAATTTTAGACTCATTTCGCGACTCATTTTGATGTGATTTGTTTGAATCAGTTGATACTCAAGTTCTGTAAGCCCCTCCCTCTTCCATAAGGCAGCTCTGCTCTGATTGGTTAGTTGTTTGAGTCTGTTTTGATTGGTCTTTCCGTATTTAAAATGAAATTCCCAGTTCAGACTGTTTGTATGTAAAGGGGGTGGGATTATGCAAATGAGTTACTTTGATTGGGTTGATGTAGATTTTGAAGATTTGAATATTTAATGACTCATTAAGGTGAAATCATTTTGCGATTTGTTTGGATCTGTTCAGGCTTAAGGTTTGTAAGCCCCTCCCCCTTCCCTAAGCTAGCTCTGCTCTGATTGGTCAGTTGTTTGAGTCTATTTTGATTGGTCTTTCCGTATCTACAATGAGACTCCCAGTTCAGAGTGTTTGTATGTAAAGGAGGCGGGATTATGCAAATGAGTTACTTTGATCGAGTTGACAGATTTTGAAGATTCAAATATAAAAAGACTCATTAAAGGCAAAATCATTTTGCAATTTGTTTTGATGCGATTCATTTGAATCAGCTCAGATTTAAGATCTGTAAGACTCATCCCTTCTATAAACCTCTGATTGGTCAGTTGGTCGAGTCTGTCCTCGATTGGTCCTTCCATATCTAAAATAAAACGCCTATTTCAGAGTTTGTATGAAGAGGAGGCGGAGATTATGCAAATTAGTTACTTTGATTGTGTTGACGTAGATTTAAAAAATTTGAATATATATATATATATATGAATCTTTATCATGCACAGCTTTTTAGATTGTTTACACTGTATATTATTTAATTGCATTATTGTAATAGTGTATTATTGTGTGTTATTGTTACTTTAATTTGATTTTATTTTAGTGTATTATTGACTTGTAATTTTATTGTTAACATGTACGTTACGGTAACTACTAATAGGATATTTTAGGAAAACCCATTTGATTTCTAAAAACATTTATTATTAGTTATGAATATTATTACTTGTATTATTCCAATAATATATGATTCAATTTAAATCATAAAAACATCAATATATATTAATGATGTTATATAATTTCATTGATTGATTTAACTTGATTTGCTTTAATCCAGAATATAATTCCCTCTTTTTTTCTCTTCCTCCTCCTCGTGTGTCTAAACTGGATTTCCTCTCAGATATCGGATTTGAAGTTCCTGATAAGTTCCTGGTGGGATATGCTTTAGACTACAATGAGTATTTCAGGGATTTGAGTGTAAGTGTTTTCTATTGATTTCATTTATTTGATTTAGTTTGGTTTCATTGCTTTAATGCTGTTTTAAATACACGCTTGGGCTAACTAGGGCTGTCACAATTATGACGTTTGTCTGACGATTAATTATTGAAGTAAGAAATAGTTGCGATTAATATGAGTGTATAAAGTTATAGTTAATATATTTGAAGATATATGTGCATATTTGGAAGATTAATAAATAATGAATAAACAGCCTTTTTTGCAATATTTTATATCCACATATGAGATTTCTCAATCACAAATTGAAAAGTGAAAGGCGCAAACCCGCGTATATTGGTTTACGTCTCCCCCTGGTGTCTGTTAACAGAACTGCAGGAATTGCGCTCTTCTAAACACCCCAATTTAGATTAAGTAGACTGTTATTTATCTCCATATCTGTGTTTTCTTCCAGCATATCTGTATATTGAGCGACAGAGCAAGGGAGAAGTATAAAGTATGACCCCGTGAGAGCCAAATGCAGCACGCATGAAGACGAACATCACTGTGAACCTTTAGTTTTTCTGCTCGTGAATGTATTTTTGTACATCTCATCACAAATCAATAATGAACTCATGAAAACACGGACTCCCAAAGAGAAATGCACACACTTGGTGCGAACGAGAAGCTGATTGTCTGAACCGAGGCCTTCGATTCATTCATTTTATGTTGATTTTATGTTTGTTCGAGCTCTGAGATTAAGTTAATCGTCATTTATTATGGATTATTTAGGTATTAACAATGAAAGGAGCTGAGAATTGTGTACTTTATGGAGGATTGTTTATTATTGACTAAAAATATATATACTGAAGTACTTTTTATTTCACAATTTTGCACTTTTTTTTCCCCATCACAAGTTTGTTTGTGTTCTTAACGTCAGGTTATGCATGCAACTGCTTCTTTAAATACTCAAATTTTTAGGAATAAATAGTAAGATTAAACTAAGAAGTTTCTTTTCTCTCAAATCGTGAAGAAAAATAGTTAAAATTGTGAGACTTCCTTAAAAACCTGCAGCTTTATTTAGCCACAGAGTGCAAGATGATTATGAAATTAACATATTAATCTGAATTTAGATTTGACTTTTGTTTTAATACTGCAAAAATCCTTTTTTTTGGAAACAATAATCTTGAAATAAAGTAAAAATTCTGCAAATAAACAGCAGAATTGTGTAAATGTGAACTCAAAATTGAGTTTCAAATGCATCTTTTATTTTTAATTTGCCAGGTGAAAGTCAGAATTGTGAGATTAAAAAGTCCAAATTAACATTATTACCCGTGCTTTTATTTAATTTAATTTAATGTATTTATTTCTTTTGGATCTGCTTGCAGGAATGAGCTTTAGCAGCGACACGATTTGGTCTTGCTTTTATTTTTGATTAGCATAATGCACAAACTCTGATATTTAGTGTCCTGTGTTTGCCCTGAAACACATATCAGTGCTGTGAGCTGAATCTGTGACTGTGTAAGTTATATTTACCTGTTTACTGGCACCAAAAAAGTAAAAGTCCTTCAATAAAAGGAGGTGAAAGTCTTTGTGTCGTCTTGTTGTTGTTGTTGAAAACAAAACTGATAGACATAATGAAGGGAAATCAGCTCAAAGGTGAGTTAAATGTCACATTTTTAGTATCATAATGTTATAGGCTAAACAAAGTGTTCAGTAGTGTCTGGATGCAGCGTTGATGATGCAAGCTGAGACTGCATATCTCAGTGATGCAATTTCAGACATGGATCAGGGGGGGCCAAGTCGGAGGACGCACTCTAGGCTCTGCGCTGGTTGGGAAAATTCCAAATTGAACCAAAACAACTGGCTTAAGATTGGCAAGCAAAATTCAGGACAACGTGCAGAACCTGGGAACTCAAAAGATAAAATGCAATGTCAGACATAATGCACTCAGTGGTGCTAGTGACGTCACTGTGAGGGGTGGGGTTGGGTGCATCTGCATCCAGACTCGTCTCCACTTCATACACCAGGAAGTTCTTAGTATAGACCACAGTGCTTTTCAATTTAGTTTACAATACATCATATTTTTTAACTTGCTTTTTTTTGTTTAAGATTGTAGTTGGGAAATTTCCCAGAGATGGGCATCCGCTGCGTAAAAATGTGCTGGATAAGTTGGCGGTTCATTCCGCTGTGGCGACCCCTGATTAATAAAGGGACTAAGCCAAAAAGAAAATGAATGAATGTAGGTGGGAAATTCACAAATATGCTGTAGAATTTATTTATTTTTATTTACTTTTTTCAAATTAGATTTACAAGCCTGATATGCACATTATATTTGCCAATAAAGCATACAGGAAGCATATATTGCTTAAAAATGAAGCTTAATAAACTTTATTTTTAATAGGGTTCAGAAAAATGCACAAACAAAATAGGCCTTGCATGCATGAACAGAAGAATTAATGAAATGAAAGAGAATCACAACAATAGGCAAAATTTAGAATCTATATACTGAAATGTACATGACTCTAATGGTTGGGGTGGGGCTAGACGTTAATGAAACACAATGGTTAATTTAATAAGTAATATGAATAATACTTGTTATAATTGCTGTTTTTATATTATAAGTTTAGGGTTGGGACAGGTGTTGATGTTAATAGAACACAATTAATGGGTTATTTTTGGATATAATTACTGTTTTTATGTTACTGTGAGGGTTAGGTTTGGGTTGGGGTATTGGGAGACATTAATAAAATACAATTAATGTGTGATTTAATAAATAATGTGAATAATACAAGATGTAATTGCTGTTTGTACATTTCTGTGATGGTTGGGGTAGTGGGACACGGTGATAAAATATATGTAATGGGTAAATTAATAAATAATATGAATAATTCTCGATGTAATTACCGTTTATATGTTATTGTGAGGGTTGGGTTTAGGGTTGGGGTATTGGGAAACCTTAATAAAATAGAATTATTGTGTAATTTAACAAATAATATAAACAATTCTCGATTGAATAACAGTTTTAACATTACTGTGATGGTTTGGTTTAGTGTTGGGGTAGGGCGGGTCCAAACTCGGTCCTGGAGGGCCTGTCCTGCTGATTTTAGATCCAACTTGCCTCAACACACCTGCTAGTCTTTAGTATACCTAATCAGAGCTTGATTAGCTGGTTCAGGTGTTTGGTTAAGGAGTTTGAAGCTGAACTCTCCAGCACGCTGAATCTCAAGCATCGAGTTTTACACCTCTGAGGTAGGGGAGACGTTAATAAAATACAATTAATGGGTAATTTAAAAACTAAAATGAATAATACACGTTATGATTACAGTTTTTATATTACTGTGAGGGCTAGGTTTAGGGTTGGGGTAGTGTGAGACGTTAATAAAATACTATTAATGTCTAATTTAATAAATAAAATCAATAATACTCGGTATAATTACAGTTTTTACATTACTGTGATGGTTTGGTTTAGGGTTAAGGTAGGGGTTGACGTTAATAAAATACAACTAATGGGTAATTTAATAAAAAATAGGTAAAACACTCGTTAACCTCCATCCGCGGCTGTATCCCTTCTAACAACACCCGCTAAACTCCGCCCACTCGAGGACCGCGTGCCGTTACTCCGCCTCTTAGTGGCGTCAGGTTGTGATTGCGGAAGTGCCCTGTCAGGATTATTGTAACGCGTGTGTGCGCGCTGCCAAACAAACACCTCACAGAAGTTAAAGAGATTTATTAGCGTGGAAATTCAATAATTTCGCAATGGCGGCTCTCAAATACGCCGGAATGGAGGATACAGACAGCGAAGACGAGCTACCGCCGGGCTGGGAGGAGAGGTCCACCAAAGACGGATGGGTTTATTACGCTAAGTGAGTTTTAAGACATACACACTACACTACACACATACAAACACACGACATGTTTGCTTTTACCGTCGTTCATTGCTGTTGTCGGGTGTTTCTGAGGGTATTTATCGAGTGATTGACAGCTGTCGCTAATCAATCAAACAATGTTATTGATATTTCAGTCATGAGGAGATGAAGACCCAGTGGGAGCATCCCAAAACCGGCAAGAAGAAACGCTGTGCTGGAGGTAGGAGGAGAACAGTTCCATCATCTCCAATAATAACACTGCCCGTGGTGTTTATTTCCCTCACAGATACACAAACACATCTCGCACTGCAAACACAAATATTTTCTTAGCTTGTGCCTTGTTTTTAGTCCAGATATCCAGGCACTGATGTCCACCTTCACACACTTAAACATCTCTGATTGAGCTCAAGTTGGTTTTATATTCAGTAATTTAGCATTTCAGAAAAGTGTTATTTGCTAATTCCAAGAGAGATCATATTAGCAGCCAACCACTATCACAGCACAACATTGGTCAGACCTGAATATAATTCCTTACTGACCTTAATTAATTGGTTGATTGATTGATTGATTGATTGATTGATTTATAGATTGATTGAATTTCCTCTGGCTTTTTTCCTCTATCAAGGGTCGCCACAGTCCAAACACATGTGCTATAGGGTAATTAGTGAGATGAATTAGCCGTTGTGTGAGAGAGTGAGTGAGTGAGTGTGTTTGGGTGTTTCCCAGTACTGGGTTGCAGCTGGAAGGGCATCCGCTGTGTAAAACATATGCTGGAATAGTTGGCGGTTCATTCCGCTGTGGCGACCTTTGATAAATCGGAGACTAAGCTGAAGGAAAATGATTGAATAATTAATTAAATGATTGTTTTGTATTTCATAGCTTTGCCATACGGATGGGAGCAGGAGACCGATGATAAAGGCCAAATCTTCTATGTGGAGTGAGTTGAACTTGATTTTTAAATCATCGCCTCATTTTATGAGTTGCGTTTAAATGGAGTATGTTTTACTGCAAAAGATTTTCTACAGTTTCTTTGACTTTGTAATTAAAGTTTTTTGATTTTTAAGCTGATAAATACCAGTTTTATTATTAAATCTGCATTTTCTTTGTAAAATAAAAAGTTGATTCAACTTAATTTTAAGGCTACCAGCTTCAGGACATGTTTGATATGACTCCACTTTCAACCCAAATACTGCACTTGACTCGATTTTAAATTGAGTAAACTCCATATCCTGAAGCTGGTTGCCTTAATTTTTAAGTGGAGTTTATTTATTTATTTATTTATTTTTTAATATAGAGTAGCAATGTATTAATTTTTAAAATGATGGGGCATGGTGATTTATTAGAAAAAATATTTAAAAAAGCATGATAATAAATGGTTATAAATATAATTAATTATATATTTAAGCTGTTTTTAGCAGTCTAAAAAACACTATTTTTTTTTTTTTATACACTATTTACCCTCATCACTATTTGATCTTTTTCAAAAATTGCCAAAATTGTTTAACAGCAGATTTTTACAACAATTTTAAACATAATAGATACTAATTTCTTTTATCTTTGCCATGATAACTAGTAAAATATGTGCTGTCATTTTGCAAGAGACTACGCTTCATGACAAAAGTCTTGTGATGGATCCCAGTTGTAAGAGCAACTCGTCTTCTAGTTGATCGTGTGTAAAAGTGTCAGAAGGTGGATTTCTCTGCTGAATCATCTGCATCCCATTCATCACCAATACTGCAGAAGATCTACTGCTACCCGCATGGACCAAGATTCTCAGAGAAATCAGTTAAGTTTGGTAAAGGAGAAATAATGGTTTGGGGTCTGCACTCAGTATGGAGAGATCTGCAGAGTGGATGATCAACATCAACAGCCTGAGGAATCAAGACATCTGTGCTGCCCATTACATTACAAACCACAGGACCGAACAACCACAGCAAAGAGTGCTCCAGGATTGGCCAGCCCAGTGACCAGACATCAACATTATTGAGCTGATGAAGGAGGAGGCGTTGAAGATGAACACAGAGACTCTTGATGAACTCTGGGATCCTGCTGAAGGCTTTCTTCTTCATTCCAGATGACTTTATGAATCAGTGATGTGAGTCATGTCAGAGATGTATGGATGCAGTCCTCCAAGCTCATGATGGAGTCAGACACAATATTCATTCTGTCTCCACTGCAGCAGGACTTTATATTCTATACTGGACATTATTGAAGGTTCAGTGATGAGACTTTAGTCTGAGCAGAGTCAGACCGCACTGTCCTCATCAAATCAGTCAACATCAAGACATGATCAGATTTATTGAGCTCAAATCTGCAAAATCTAGAGGCCTTCACCTTTCATAGAGACACTTCATCATCAAATCATTGAAGTTATTCCTAAAAGTTGAATAGGCCACAAGATTTTTTTTTTTTTGTATTGTTGTGTAGTATTCAACTTAAAGTGGCATTTTAAAGGCTTAATCAGGTTATTTAGGGTAATTAGGCAAGTCATTGTACCACAGTGGTTTGTTCTGTAGATTAGAAATATGTAATTTATTAGTTTACTCCTGCCAAACTGAAGTTTGTGCTGCAAAACTCCTATTACTGTAAAACATATTTTACTGGACTGTACTGCTTTTACTGATTCCAGAAGGACTTTTTATGAAATGAACTCTTTTAAGGACATTTTTGACAAAGTGGAACCAGAAAAGATTTTAGAATTTTTATCATGTATTAACACAAAAAATCTTATTTAATTTATGTTTTATTTTGTTTGTTGATTTTTAAATTGTATATTTATTGTTGAAAGATTCCTGCCATGAAAATAGCCTTGGTTGCTGACATGGCACTAAATAAAAAATACATTACATTACATTACATCCTGCCAAACTGAAAGAAATAGGATTTTTACTAGAAATAAAAATATAATGGCAAATACTGTGGAAAAAAAAATCCTAGCTCTGTTGGAAAATATTTGAAATAAAATAATTTTAACCTTTAAAATGGGTTTAAAACTATTAAAAACTGCTTAAATTTTAGCCGGGAAAAAAAAACAATTAAGACTTTCTTCAGAAGAAAAAAACATTATAGGAAATACTGTGAAAAATTCCTGAATCTGTTCAACATCATTTGGGAAACATTTGAAGAAATTCACACGACAATGAATAACTTTGACTCAAGCTATAGTTTTTTTTCCATGTCTCTCCAGTATAATTTTTTTTATACTATTTTATTGATATAATCTGACTTTATTGATGTCTCTTTCCCTCTTGTCCTCAGTCACATCAACAAGCGTAAGACGTATTTCGACCCTCGGCAGGCCTTCACTGTAGAGGACATGCAGGTGAAGCCTAAACGCTACGACGGAAACACCGGCGCTCTGGAGATCCTGCATGGCCAGGACCTGTCCGACAAGGTCATCATCGTCACCGGAGCCAACTCTGGCATCGGTCAGTGTCACAAAACACATATTCATTTAGCAGATACTCTCATCCAGATCAAGATAAAAGAAGAACTGCAGATCACCAGACAGCAGAAATATGTAGTATTACAAACAAGCAGGACGAAACGCACACAGACACAAGCATTCACAAAGAGGCTGAGCTGTGCTTCAGGGTTTGTCCAGCAGGTGGAGCTGCAGGATTGAGGATTTTCACTCCTTGAGTTCTAATCAGTCAGTCAGGGATCAGGTCTATAGATGTGGATGATTATTATTGCAGGTATATTTAACGTGTAAAAATGCTGCTTTTGTGGTGAATTTTATTTCTTAAACTGTGTGACCGCTGTTGATTCACATGTGTTTTGTATAGTTTGTCTTTCCAGGGTGTCCGCTGGGTCTTAAAGTATTGAAAGTTGATCAATTAATCATGAGAAAATTAAGGCTGTTAAAAGATATAAAGTCTTGATTGTGTTTTTACGAGGTCTTAAATTTTGTTCAAGCGTTGTCCAAAGTGCTTGACTCTTGGAAAAGTGTAGGTGGTGGATTAACATTCAGCACATGATCACTAGTAAGATGTCTCATTATTTGTAACTAGATGGTTTCTAAAACTAAACCTGACATTGTTATCTTCATTCATGCACTCGCAGAAATGCTCCCAAATATATTTTAAGGTGGCATAGATAAAATTTCGGGCGCATGTGCGACCAAAATTGTCGCAATTTCGAGCCCTGATATATATATATATATATATATATATATATATATATATATATATATATATATATATATATATATTCGTTTTAAGGTAATTTAATTAGTCACTTATAATATACTTGCTTTAAATACTGCACAGAAAGCCAACAGTTCTGCATGAACCAATTCAGAGAAGCAGAGTTATATATTTTGCAGAAGAACTCAGTGCATGTGTTTAATTCATGACAATATACGGTTTAAAATAGGAAAAGCAGATTAATTAAAAAGGTATATATTTTTAGGTTTTGTTTGTTCAGGTAATTAGCATGTTAACTCAGTTTTTCAAGTAAATTGCACTGCACATTCTTAAAAATCTGTCTTGAATATAAATGTTAAGAAATTACCTCTAGTTTGTATGAACTGTGGTGTCGTTAATTTAAAGAAATGTTTTTTTTTTGAGACGTGCATTGTTTAAAACTTAAGTGTTTTTAATGATTGACGTAAAGAATTTCATGTTTAATTTCTATTGTATGCATTCAGATTACTGTGGATTGTTAGTGGAGTCAAGTAATCAGTAATTAAGTTTTCAGACATGGCAATTAGAAAAGTGATTTAAATGCAATTTTAATGATGTTATTATACAGTTTTAAAACAAACTTGCTCAACACTGACCGGTCAATGCAGAAACGCTGGCTGTAGTGTCTCTGAGCGTTCGCTAGAGGGCAGAGGAGCGCTGTGTGTCGAAAATAATAAATAATAAATAAATAAATGCATGAGAAAAAAAACACAAACTGTCCCTCTAATATCGCTGAACACACCAATAGAAGCGCTTTATCCTATGACAAACATTGCAAATATTTCACAAAATTATTTAAACATTAATCGGCATTGAGTTACTTTAGTTAACTTATTTATTTTAGTTTTTTGTTGCCTTATAATACATTAAAAAAAAAACTCTTAATTTTTTTTTTTTTACATTTCAGTCAAACAAGATGTTTTGGTTTGGTTTTAAAAAATAACACTTAAATTATACGTGTGTGTGTGTGTGTGCATCTAAAAAAAAATATAAATTAAATTACGCCATATTTCATGCTTATTAGTGTCGATTTCTAATACATATCATTGTTTCCCAAGCATGTGCAGTGCAAAAAAACTGACTTTATTTGAAATATCGAGGTAACATCCTAAATATCTGAATAACATTTTTCCTTTATTATTTTAAATTACTCTGCTTGTCTGAATCTAAACCTTATATTATTGTTATTTAATTGTGCATTTTATTTTAAATAAACCATAGTGTATATATATGCAACAATAAACAAACGTTTATATCAATAATTCTATTAACATAAGCGATGTGTTATTTGTAATGTTTTAAAACTCATTTCATGCATTTATGAGTTGTGCACGGTGCTGTACGAGTAAAATAAACACCAACAAAAAGGGAAAAACATCACTAAAATCATAATTCAACCTACAAAATTTCAAAAGGAAATAAGATTTCAACTTCGTTTTAAGCTTGTTGACAGATATTGTAGATATGGAGGAAGCATATTAATTATGTTTTAATATTCATTCATTAATTTTCCTTCAGCTTCAGTAGTTCGTATTCCAACATATGTTTTACCCAGTGGATGCACTTCCAGCTGCAACCCAGTACTGGAAAATACCCATACACACTCATTCTCACACACTGTTTCTCAATTCCGAGAACGGACTTGCGTTCTTGTGGAGAGCGGTCTTGCCAGATGTCCTCGGAAGAATGAACACGGGAGATCACGAGAACGCATCCTGTGAGAAATGAGATGCTGCGTTCTTCCTGATGGTCACATGACCTTCACATATTTTTAATGGAAAATTATTTAAACATTACAGCCTTCATTAAACGATTGATTGTTTTTCCCCTTTTCACAATATATACTGTGCATAAAACATTATAAATATACTCCGCACAATATAAATAAAACTGATTTTAATACAAATTTCAGCAAACAAACAACCTTAATGTGTTTATTGCTTTATTAAGATGTTTATGCTGATGTTCATATTCACCGTTTCATTGAGGGGGAAACTTCAGAGATATGACTGATTTACCTCAGGACTTTAAATTAAATGCTGCGCTTCCCACCACCCAGTGACTTCTGGGACTTCTAGAGCGTGTTCGGTGCTCAAGTCGGCTTCGGTGTGTCCTCTATCAAGAACACATCCGGGAAGTTTCATGCATCCTCTGTTCTTGCAGTCTTGAGTATTGTAACTGAACTTTGGCAGCTGATGATGACGATACATGAGGACGCTGAAGAACACATATTGAGAAAAAAAGCCCTACACTACAGCCAGTTTACTTCATCAGTTCCCCTATAGCGCATGTTTTTGACTGTGGGGGAAACCGGAGCACCCGGAGGAAACCCACACCAACACGGGGAGAACATGCAAACTCCACACAGAAACACCAACTGACCCAGAAACCTTCTGTCGCCTCACAGCAAATGCTGAGCCACCATGTCACCTCTAAATGTAAACCTTATATCATACTATTTTATTATCGTTGTTTTTATTTTTTAAGAAACAAAACAAACAGCATGTACAAAGCAATAAATATGTTTATGTGAATAATTAACATAATAATGTAAATTAAGTGGTGGCATGGTGCCCTCACAGCAAGAAGGGCGCTGGTTCGAGTCCCGGCTGGGACAGTTGTCTGTAAATGCATGCATACATTTTTTATTAAATAATTAAATGACAGAAACATGGCATAAAAAAGAAACGTATTTAATGTAGTAATAATAATAATAATAATAATAAAATTGCTTTTTTTTTTTTTTTTTTTTTTTTTTTGCTCGTAATATAAAATATGCATAATATAAAGTCATTAAATTATTTAAAATCAAAGTAGATATTAATTATAACAAGTCTATATGTATTTAAATAAACATTTACATATTCAAACCTGATTCATTCATTCATTTTTTTCCTCTGGGTGCTCCGGTTTCCCCCACAGTCCAAACACATGCACTATAGGGGAACTGATCAACTAAATTGGCTGTAGTTTGAGTGTTTCCCATTACTGGGTTGCAACTGTAAGGGCATCCGCTGTGTAAAACACATGCTGGAATAGTTGGTGGTTCATTCCGCTGTGGCGACCCCTGATAAATAAGGGAATAAGCTGTAGGAAAATGAATAATTGAATGACCCTTTAAAGCAGCCTGTGTTTCGTAAAATCTTCTGTTTGGTCCTCTGAGAAAATATTAGATTATATTAGATCATTTTTATTTGTCTGACGCAGCCGTGCTGAAGACTCAGGTGTGTTGATCACACTCTAAACCCTGCAGACTTCTGACGGTATTAGTGATTGCGCATGAGAGACGTGTGTGTGTGCGTGCATGTGTGTTGAGTCCTGATGGTGAACTGGTGTGTTTGCAGTGTTTAATGGAGGCTCTGGTTAGTGTGGAGATCTGCGGCAGTGCATTGATCCTGAAGTGTGTGTGTGTGTGTGTGTGTGTGTGTGTGTGTGTGTGTGTGTGTGTGTGTGTGTGTGTGTGTGTGTGTGTGTGTGTGTGTGTGTGTGTGTGTGTGTGTGTGTGTGTGTGTGTGTGTGTGTGTGTGTGTGTGTGTGTGTGTGTGTTTGACCCCAGCTGATGCCTCCCATTCATTCCCATTAGCGACTCCAGCGCTTTCCTTAATTCTCCTCTATTGAACCAACTAAAGTTATTTACCGTCTCAAACGCCGCTCACTTCAGTCCAGCAGCCCGTCAGAGACTGACCTCAGACCTACACACACAGATACACACAAGCACACATGCATGCACACACACATACACACACAGAAGCATGTACACACTAATAAATGCGCGCACACACACACGTATTGTACGCACTCACACAGACACGCACTTAAGCATGGATACACACATGCGCGCACAAGCATACACTCACTTAAGCATGCCCTCAAATAAGTGTACACGCTTCTACACACACACACACACACACACACAAGCATGTGTATATATACAGACAAGCGTGCACCTACACAAGCGTACACACACACTCCAGCATGTGTGCACACGCACTCAAGCATGCACACACATACACATGCGTGCACATACATGTGCATGCGCACACAGACGAGCATATACTCACACAAATGCATCCACAAAAGCGTTCACACACACACACACACACACCATTACACCACCACCACCACCAGCCTGAACCCCTGATACAAGGCAGGATGATCCATGCTTTCATATTGTTGAGGCCAAATTGTGAGCCGAGCATCTGAATGTGTCAGCAGAAATGGAGACTCATCAGAGCAGCAAC